ATTAAGTGATTTTCCCAAAATAGAAGCTGGTAAAAAAAAAAAAAAAAGTGCTGCCATTCTGTTCGGGCTCTGGGAGCAGGGAAAACAGACTCCCAACAGGGTCCCTTATCTCTCTAGGCATTCCCTCAGGTAACTGTGAGTGGAGCTGGAGAGACTGAATGGTGGGCATGGGGTAGGAGAGCCTGATTATGGTTTTTTGTTGTTGTTGTTCAAGAGGGGATTTTTCTCCTCTCTCCATTCCTTCACAGTCCTCTCCCCTGAAAGTTTTTTTTACCGATTCCCTCAGAGCTGCACCTCTCATGTTATTTAGTGCTCAGCCTAGAAACCTGCCAGGAGGCAATCCTAGAAAAAGTGACCAAAATCGGTGTTTCCTTTTCCAGAACCCCACATTACAGCTCAGCCACTGCCCAGGCTAGCCTGATGATGTGCCCTGGGAGGCAAACCTGACTGCACCTCTCTCAGCCTGCCATCTATACAATGGGAATACGTAATACATTTTGCAAGAATAATTTAAGAGAGAATATCATAATGTGTTATGCAAATTCTAAAGTGCTAAACAAAGTATCACCCTACAGACTGTGAGGTGCCCACGTAAAGTAATCCTTGACACAAACACTCACATCATTTAGGAGTCCAATGTTCTTTGCAATCACAATTACAAAGATGGTATTTTAACACCATGCATAGGATATGTCTCCTTCAGGTTATGTCTATCATCTGATTATACAGAGAATAAAAAACAGAAGAAAAGGTCAACAGACCTTCCTGCCTGTTACATACCTATCCAAAAGCTACTACCTTTCAGTTTTAAGAGGGGTGATTCTTAGTTCTAGAGCCAATCCTGTGTTAATCTTTGAATTAGGAAAAGGACAAAAACAGTGAAGAATTTCAAAGTCCCAATTTGATGACCTTGTTAACTTCCAAAACAGGATTAGGGTAAACATGCTTCTGCTTTATTATTAACAATGGCTGACATGTCAGTGCTTACTATGAGCCAGACACTGTTTTCAGTGTCCTGCATTCATTTACTTATTTCATCCACATAGTAGTACCTACTTTGTAGGAATTTTCTTTCCTCCATTTTACAGGTAAAAATTGTAGAAACTGAGTGGTTAAGTAACTCATCCAAGTGGCTGTCCAATAACTCTGCCTTAGCAAGGAAGTTGGAGATCTTGGCCATCATTCACACTCCTTGTGTTCCCAATCCTAGCCATCCTGAACGACTTGGATTCTTTGGATGGATAGTGTGCTTAACTGCACCACCACCATCCCAACCCATTCCTGCCTTTGCACGTGGCTTTTCTCTCTTCTTACTGAACTACCATTCCTTCCAATGAACAGGAAGTTTTTTTTTCCATGAACACATGAAAGTAAGAGTCCAAAAGAAATTCATGACTATGTTTAATATTCAAGAAGTTGCTTTAGTAGGAAATACTGAAGCTTTCTCCAAAACAAATCATTCTTGCAGTCGTGTCTTATCTCAAAGCCAGAATGTACTACAAATTGTCTGGGGTTCTTTCCTCTACTCTGCAGGACTCCTCCCTCACCACCTGCTTCATCCCTTCTTTCTGACTGCAGCCTGCCTTCAGGAAAGACTGTCCCCCGTGACCTCTGGCCAACCGACAATTGATCTGAAAGTTTTCAGACCTATATTCCACAGCTGTCCACGGCTTTTCTTCAGGATTCCATTTCAGAGGAAGATGACATACTTTGTTTTTCCATTTTTGAAAAAAAGATTTTATTTATTTACTTTTAGATAGATGGGAAGGAAGGGAGAGAGAAGGAAAGAAACATCGATATGATCTGCAAGAGAAACATCAATTGCCACTCCACATCTCCAACCAGGAACCTGGCCTGCAACCCAGGCATCTGCCCTGACCAGGAGTCAAACTGGCAAACTTTCAGTTTGCAGGACAATGCTCAGCCCACTGAGCCACACTAATCAGGGCAACATGCTTTGTTTTCCAAACCATTTTTTCACCATCCATATTCAAAATTAGTCATTGGGCTCAGTGATAGGATATCATATCTAATACTCCTTGCCCAAGCCACATGAAGTCAGGCATTAGTTTGACACTGCACTGAGAAATGGGCATCCAGTGGTTTCAGTGGCTTTTTGATTTACAGGCACAGCTTCCCTTCCATGTCTTTGGAAAACTTTAAACACAGCATTACAAGGAAAATGACATGGGATGGCTCAATAGAAAGACTGCAACATCACAGAGCCAGTGCAGTAAACAAATACTTAATAGCAAACTTTCCTGTTTGCTATTGAGGCTGATGTGTCAAAACTATCTTTTAACTGAATCAATGCCTATGTCATGTAACATAGACAGGCTACTTTAAATAAGGTATGCTGAAAAAGATATCCAGTATAGCATACTGATAATAGAACAAAAAGAGAGAAAATGGAATAAAATAAATTGTGCCTAATGTTATTTTTTTAAGATTTTATTTATTTATTTTAGAGTGATGGGAAGGGAGGGAGAAAGAGAGAAACATTGATGTGCGAGAGATATTCTAATTGGTTGCCTCTCATACACCCCCCACTGGAGACCTGGCCTGTAACCAAGGCATGCGCCCTGACCTGGAATCGAACCTGTGACATTTTGGTTCACAGGCTGATGCTCAATCCACTGAGCCACACCGGCTAGGGCAAATCATGCCTAGTTTTAATTTTCTTTTTTTTTTAAAGATCTTATTTATTTATCTTTAGAGGGAAAGGGAAGGAGAGAGGAAGAAAAATATCAATGTATGGTTGCCTCTTGTGTGTCCCTTGCTGGGAATTGGCCTGCAACCCAAACACAGTAAAATAAGAACAGGAAATGTGTCTGTGCATGACCATAATTGTGAAAGGTGTCTATACAAGCATCTGGAAACAGGGGTAGCAGTGTTTCTCAGGTAAAATTAAAGATTTTGATTTTGCTTTTCTTTTGCTTTTCCTTTTTAAACTTTTCTAAATCATATAAAAATTTTAATGAACATGTATTATTTTAATTATCAGGAGAATGTAGCTTAAAAATATCTAAAATAAATGCACCAAATTAACACAGGATGGTAAGACCATGGGACAATTCTTTCTCCCTCTCTTTTAACTTATCTATATTGAGCACAGGATAAACTCTTAAAAAGACCTGGTATGCTGACTGTAAAACACTGACCAAAGTTGACTGGTTAAAGGCGGGAGGCAGAGGGAAAGTGGGGAAGGCAGTCAAAGGCCTAAAGACAGCCAGGGAGGCATGTGCACCCAGTGACTTGGTCCAGCAGTTTCTCAGACCAAAGGAAGGGAGCCAGGAATAAGAACTGCCTTGCAGTACAGTGCTCCACAAACTTCATCCAATTTCTTCATGCTACATTTAAGCAAGAGAAAGAAGCAACTGCACAACATAAGAAGCTGGCAGCAGTTGACTTTGGTAAAAGAGAAAGAAAAATGGCTGAAGCCCTTCCACAAACAAGCCCAGATGCACAGACCTAGCTTCCACATGGCCACATCACCCACCATCAATGGACACCGGACTCAGCAGATGGAGCACAGATCTCAGAACCTGAGCCGGGTGCCCTACTGCTTGGCCTGGCAACTCACTGATGCCACAGAGCTATTACAGGGATAAGCATGCCCTTCTACTAGGCCAAGTCAACCACGGGAAAGGGCTGTTTCCACCCAGGGGCACCTGCTAATTTGGTTCCCTGGCCCAAAAACTGGCAAGTTCAGCAGTCAGAGGAGAGCTTGATGATCAGGTTGAAATTCCACCTCAGCTGGCTTCGCAAATTGAGGAGTCAAAGTTCTACAGATAGGAGAACTGTGTAAGACAAACCACTAGCACATTCCAGCTCCCTTGCAACTCAGTGCATCTCTACAGAAACCACTGTGTTCCCCTGCCCCTCTGCTCTTCCATTGTATTTATTTATTTATATTTATTTTTAGAGATGTTATTCATTTTTTAGACGGAGGGGAAGGGAGGGAGAAAGAAAGGAAGACAAACAGCGATGTGAGAGAGAAACATCAGCGTGTGGTTACCTCTCACACACCCCCAAGCGGGCACCTGGCCGCAACCCAGGCATGTGCCCTGACTGGGAATTGAACTGGTTACGTTTTAGTTTGTGAGATGATGCTCAACCTACCGAGCCACACTGGTCAGGGCTGCTCTTCCCATTTAAAACTGAGGAGCAATCAATCCACTTGACGCAGGGTGTCTATGAGGTGACTCAGGAAGGAAATGCAATAAACATATACACATACGCACAGAGAAACTACAAAAATGCTGTCCATCAAGACAGTGATACTTGGTTCCTGATAAAGGGAATCTGAAATCAAAAAGTCACTATCACATCAGGCACTTCATATACCTTCACTGTTTTAAATGTCACAAAAATTAAATGTCCCATTTTACACATGAAAACATTGAGGTTCAGAGGAAAAAAAAAAAAACCACAGCTCAAAGTCATAGACCTAGGAAATGCTAAAGTTGTAATTTAAACTCCAGAGCCCATGCCCTTTCTCACGGAACACAGTGAGATACTGTGTTCCCATCACCGCAAAGGATATCTATCTGGCACATGTGGAGTCCAGCCCCCATGCTGCAGCCTGTCTTCCCAGCACCAGGGGTGCAGCTCCAGAATGACAACAGACCTGGCACACCAAATGTGCTTAATCTATGTGCAGGAAAGGGCATCAGCTGTGGTCACAGTAAACAGCAATTATAACAATGGCTGCAATCACCAAGCATCTGCTGTGTGGAGGGCCTGTACGAAGAATGTTACCCATATTTGGCCTAAGTAACGACAGAGTTGATGTGTCCATTTTTCAGATGAAAACACTGAGGCTCACTGATGTCTCACAGCTAGGACATGTAAATCTATCTGACACCACAGCCTCATTCCTGATCCCCACCTCCCCTACTGTGACAAAGTGATGAAACCCAAGTAAGGGTTCAGGTCAATTCCCCCTTCCTTCTCCCCAGCCCCCTGGCTCTGCCCTGGCCCAGTGCTTTGGCCACTACCTTGGTTGAGGTAGGTCAGTGTCTCTTCATGCAGCTTCACAGCTGGGGATGTGGCAGCACACAGTACGTACTGCAGGGGTGGCAGGCGGGCTTCGTTCTCAGGGGACAGCTGGGGTTCCTCCTGCTTGAAGATGGGCAGAGCGAGCACATCACTGCAACACACAGAGGGAGCGGTCAGGAGCAGAGCCCCAAGAGCCCATTTGCAAAGACAGAGTCAAGATGGGAGCAATAAATGCTGACCATAGTCATCAAGGGCAGCACAGCAAAGCGCTTGGCAGCGTGCTGGGCCAGCTTCCCACACCGCACATCGCAAATACTTTCAGAAGGAGCAAACCAATCTGTGATGATTCTACTTTCTCTCAGTGTCCCTCAAGAGATTCAGTCAATCGAATCATTAACAAGGTCAAAATTCGAACTCATCTAATATATACAAATTATAGAAGTACTCTCTATGACAAGGGGGACTAACAGCAATGGAGTGAACTTTATCTGCCATACTCTTTCCATCCATAAGAAAGACATTATAAAATCTTGCTTTTAAAATAAGACTCTGAACAGATATTTCAATTATTTTCATTTATTTATGTTTTTAATCCTCACCCAAGAATATGTTTATTTGGCTTTAGAGAGGGGGGAGGGGAGAGAGAGAGAGAAACATCGATGTGAGAGCACAACATGAACTGGTTGCCTCCTGTACACGCCACAACTGGGGACCCAACCCGCAACCAGGCGCGTGCCCTGACTGGGAATCAAACCTGCAACATTTTGGTGTACAGGACAATGCTCCAATCAACTGAGCCACCCACCCAGGACAAATATTTTCATTGTTTAAATAAACTATTTTATTTATTGGCCACTTCTCAAAATAATACAACTTTGTCCTTGGGGCTCTATAAACTATGCAAATACAAAAACTGTTTGCTTTACTCACCCAGACTGAGATATCCCCCCACCCTTCTAAAAATAAAAAGGACAGCTGATCCATAATCCCTATGATAGGAGTCATACTAATATCTCCTAAATGCAAAACAAGGACATTGGCTTCAATTCTGTTTTCTTGTTCAAATGGAAAATGCTTAGATGCTCAAAGATTCTTTTCCTCCACATCTGAACAAAACTCCCTGACATATCCACAAAAAACAAATCAGCCTCACAGCAGCCTATGACTAAAGAACATGTTTCTAGATGTATTTTTAAATGCCTTTGCAAAGAAAAAAGAAATTCTTGAGAACATGAATGACCTGTGGGCAGGACAGACTTGTTTAAGACCTCTAAATTACAAATAGTACAAAAACAGGTGCCAAAAAAGTGCCAGTGCCCTTATCTTGATAACCCTCCTCCCTCTGTGTGTCCAGGGTTATAAATCAGATTCACTGACCCCACTTCACTGTATAAACAGCAGAGCCACCAGTACAATCTGTTCCTCATACGACACAATAAATGAATGTCTCTAAAACACAAACTCAGCACACACCCCAACGATGTCTAACCAGTTCCCAGAAGGAAAAAACAGGCTTGGAGCACACCTGGAAAACCTCCCGTGAGTGCACCTCCCCTGCCATGGTCCGTGGCCCAAAAAACCAGGGCGCAGTGCTGTGTTGACTCTCCCTAAACACCGTGCCTTCCTTTTACCAGACTGGCACACACTCCCAATCCCAGTGGCTGCGTAGGAACAAGGGAGAAGCAGGCAGGACTGCCCACCCAGGGATGGCATAATTTCATGTTTGCCCAGACCATGTTAAGTTAATAATCCATGGGCTGGCTGCTGCCTTTCAATTTAAAAAAGGGGATTGGGGTGGGCAGGGTAAGAACCATCACTCAACAGTAACTTGTTTCAAGCCTGGTTATCCTTATTTGCCAAGGAATAAAAGTCATGAGAACACCAAACAGAAAAGGTGAAGAACGGAGTTTTATAAAGGCCACCACCCTGGTAAGGTCAAACAACTTGCAAAAGTTCTGCAGTGCGGAGGCAACCAAAAATAAAATATAAAAACCAAGGAAGAGGACAAGACCCTCACTCTAGAGTTGGGGGAACAAGGGACATATTTACTGACCACCCCCTGCCCACCTTGGCCTTCATTGAGGTCAACTTCTACAAGGCAAAACCCCGAGCTTCTAAGAAGTGAAATAAAAGGGTGGGGGGCATGGACCAAATGCTTCTTTATCCATGGACCCAAAATGATCCCAGAAACCAATATGGCTTTATGGCTCTCTTCACCCTAACTCTCTGCCCTCCCCGCAACCCCAGGACAATACCAAAACCCCAAAAGGTATCTTAGGTATTCCACAGACAAATTTCCTCCTCGGTAGCAGAGGTGCCTCCCATGCAACGGGAATTATTCCCTAATGGGATGACATTGTACGTAACCAGGAAGTTTTAAATACACTAACCCTCCATTCAAGGTCACCTTCAAAATCAGTTTTAAGGTATGGTACACATTTAATAGCCACAAACGAAAACTTAGGCAAAACTAATTAAAACTGCATCTTGCATTATAATAAATATGTTGTGGCATTTTGTGTAAGCGAATGGGCACGATCTTCTGCCAGGGATTATCATCTGCCCAGTGCGCTTCCACCATACCCCAGGGCAGCTTCCCTCTGGTGACATCATCAAGGTCTTCAGGGAGGCCATCAGTCCTTAATTAAGATCCTAGACATAGTCCATCCCCTATGATCCTGACCATGAATAAAAAACAACAGACGCACCAACTCGGTTACTCCTTTGCCTTCTGGATGGGGGGATGTCTTCAAGGAGAACTACTGGACAAATACCTATCAGAAGCCAGTATTTACAAATAACATGTACAGTTAATAAAAATAAATTTTCAAAGAAGCTGTTTAAAAAAAAAAAAGCAAAGAACATGTACTGCTAAATCTGGGTAGAAATTTCTTGGAGGAAAAAGAAAAAGCACTCCCTGGGGCTCGCCCTCTGGGGCTGTCAGCGCCAGAGACTCCCTTGGCCTCACAATTCCCTTCCACTGTGACTGTCTGAAATCCATTTGGGTTAAATGGAGTACATTTCATAAACTGTGACTAAGATGGAAATAAAGACAGGCTAAAGCTGGTTCAGGCGAGTTCAGAAAGTGAAATGATTGCCCATTAGTACCTGGCCGGCTGCAGAACAGTGGCAAACAACCCTCCAGAGATGGACGCTAACGGGGTCCAACTTCCTAAGTTCAGGAGATAAAAGAGAACTTTACAGACAGGCAGGACTTATTTTTCTCCTTGAAGAGCGCTAGTCAAACCCCTGAGAAAGAAAGATTTCCATCAAGGGCAAGAAGCGTGCGGGCCTCGGGACAAAACGCGCAAGACCACTTAGAGGGAGGGAGCAACTAGTCCCTTCGAGCCCCCGCTGGCACCCACGAGACAGGCTGTAATGCAAGTCAGCGTTCTCCACTTACTCGACCCTTGGTGGGACGAAGGACACTGGAGAGGGCACGAGGCTTGGAGAGGGACAGGGCGGAGAAGGGCAAAGAGCAGGACACTAGACTTCTTCGGGACAGGCAAAACTCCGATGCCAGAGGTAAGAGACTGAGCAGTAGGGAGCACTTGGGTTGGCTGCGGCCAACAGGTGTGCGCTCCGAGCCAGCCGGGGTCGTCAGGGGAGGCACCCTCCCAGGGAACAAGGTTCTGCAAGCCGGGTCCCCAACACTGCGCAACCAGTCACGCCGGCGTCGGTCAGTCCCTAGGCGGGACTCTAGGCTGCCGTATCTTCTCAGAACGCAAAGGGCAGAGAGCGAGGAAATGTAGCGCTGCGCTGCGAGGGCTCTGAAGACCCCAGACCCCAACACTCCCCTAGGCGCAGAGGACATCCAACAGCGCCTCGCCCGCCAACCCAGCCCGCGACCGCGGCGGGATCCCGGTCAGTGGGGCAGCGCGGCACTTACCGCAGGTAGCTGCTGGAGTTGTGCTGGTTGTAGTGTTCGGGCTGCGTGTGCCAAAACAGCATGGCTGGACCTCTGAGCCCGCCACGACCGGCTCGCGCAGAACCGGACACAGGCCGCACCTAACTTGCACGGTCACCTGAAAGCACACTCCTAAACGCTGTTCCCAGCCCCGAGCTTTTATGAACGGCCCAGGGGGCGGGGCTGCGTCCGAGCCCTCCCTCCAGGCTTTGCTGCAGCACCTGGCTGATCTGCACCAGAGTACCCTTCCCAAGAGTTAAGTGTGAGGAGCGGAACGCTGCTCCGCTGCTCCCTGCTCCTCTGCTCCGCCAAGGATCCTGAGGGTGGGGCTCAAGAGACCCTAAACGCAGCTCCTAAGGCCTCATGCACCTCCTCCGTGTCATCCCTGGACCATAAGTGCAAGGCTGGTCCTGAGAGCCTCGCAGTAGTTAAGTGGAAGATACTCTGAGCTTAGATGTTAGGGACCAAGACACAGTCACCCTCTATTCCTTACCTTGCTCTTGTTCATTGATAGCATTTGACACTCTTTGAAATCGTGCATTTATTTGCATAAATGCATAAATCGTGCAAAAATAAATTGCATTTATTTTTACTTGCATGTTGATTGTCTTCCTTCCTAGAATGCAAGCTCCAATAGGGCAAGACCTGAACTCTAACTCACCCTTTGCCTAGGGTGGTAACTCACTTTAACCCACTGCGTAGAAAAGTGCTTGGGATCCAGTAAGTGCTCTATGAGTATTTGTTGAGTAAATATGAAGAAAAGGAATGCATCAAGTGAGTAACCAGAGTCACCCGAAGGAGGTGAGGTTGGGCTGAGGAAGCATACATATGAACATCTGGAGAAAAGTGGTTCCAGGCAGAGGCAACAGTAATTGCCAAGGACCTGAGGCGGACCTACTTAGGCATGGCTGGGGGTGGGCAACAGAAGGGAAATCTTGGCAGATGAGTTGGGAGAGGTGGGCAGGACCCATCATAGAGGGCCTAGCAGACCCTTCAAGGAGCTGGGATTATATTCTGTGTGTTTTTAGTAGAGGAGTTGCGTATCTGATTTGCCTGTAGGAAAGATTAGTCTGGAAGAAGTCAAGACGATGGGCCCTAGTGGGGGTCAGTTAGGAGGGAGTAGAGGTCAAACAGCCATAACCTATACTCAAGTTCTGTCCCTAAGTGTTAATCAAACAAAATAAAGTCCCATGGAGACCTGGACCCAGAATTCCCAGCTCCCCACTCTGTTCTCTCAGCTCCCTTCCCTCTCACCACAACTGGCAGGCCACTTACCCTAAGCAACCTTCAAGGACTACTACCTCTCACTGCTCTTCTGTCTCATGAGAAAAATGAAAATGTGCCACTAAGGTCCATGTTCAAGGAAGGACTTGTTGGACTAGCCACAGGGAGCTCTGTAAGCAGATAGCCCTCAGCCACCATCAACTTCAGGGACTGCCTCTACTGCAGAAAGCCACTACTGAGGCAGGACTAAGAAGTCTGGCCATCTCTGCTGATGGGCTCTTTCAGCCCCAGGACTCCCCATGGACCAGTTGAAGCTGTAGGGAGCGGAGCTCCCTCAGTCCACTCCTGTTTCCTTCTCATCCCTTGCACAGGTGTCAATCTCAGAGGAACTTCCCAATTAACATCCTTAATACTAATCTTTGTTTCAGAGCCCATGACAAGCAGAGCATTTAAATGAGAGGCACTCTGGGTAGTGTGGAAAGAGCCTACCCTTAACTAGATTCCTTCCCTGAGAGCACCTGCCATGTGCCAGGTGTGTCACTGGGCTCCAGGGTGCAAGCCTGCCTGTGTTCTAAAAGAAGAGGCCAGTGGGTATGCAGCAATTGCAGTACAGTGTATGTGATTAAGGAAGTAGAGGCTGCTCCTCTGAGAATATAAAGGACTTTGGAGCTCTGGAAACTCTCCCAGGTGAAGTAACGTATCCTGATAGATGAGTAGGTGGAAGTTAGGCCAATTTATGAAGTGGGGGATAGAGGAGGGTGTCAAGTTGAGCACATAGCATGTACAGAAGCCTGGAGGAAGGACACCAAGTATGGGAAACAGATTACAATGGCTCAGACCTGGGTTTACCAGCTGGCTCTGTGAGGATGGGTGACCCTGAGTAGAGTAAATTGCCTGCATGCTAGTCTCCCATCAAGAGATGGGTGTTTCCTCTCCTCCTCACTCTCCTATGGTCTGGCCCTGTGACTTGCTTTGACCATAGAATGCAGTGGAGGTGATGTCCCTGTTCCAGGCTGGCCCTAGAAGGCCTAGAAGCTGCCACCTCTGCTCCCCTCAAGTTCTGGATCACCATATAAAATCCAACTGCCTCAGTGGAGAGAAAGGACCAGCCAGTCTCCAGACATCCCTTGCCTACTGCAGAGATCATTTGGATGTGCCAATGGATCTGCCCCAGAAGTCCCATGGAACAGATTAAGACATCCCAGCAAGCCCTGGTGGTTTTAACCTACTAAGTTACAGAATGGTTTATTATATATATACCAATGAAGAAATGATATCCTGGGCCCTCTGAATCTGTTTGGCCATTGGTAAAATGGGGTCATAAACCTTTGCTTCAGGGTTGTGATAAAGCTCAGGGTCAGGTGAGTGTAGCCTCTCATGAATGTTTGACTCTTTCTGTCCATTTCAAGTCACTGCATACCTTCTTTCCTTTCCTAGATTTTGACTCTCTTGAGGGTAGGATTTAACAAAGCCCACAGAGACAGTATCTGAATCACATTTGAAACACAACCCTGCCTTTGAATCCTTGTTGTTACAGGGCACATTTAGGCCCAGTCTGGACCTCAGGGGCTTTCAGTCTAGTGAGGAGGAAAAGGGAAAGACAGATATGAGACAATGGCCTGCCAGTCCCTTTTTTTCTTTTGTAAGTATCCACCATTCACTTACACAGAAATATCTACTTTTATAGTTTGCTAGGCCTGGATCACACACTGGAATCTCCTAATGCTGAGAGGTAGGGCCATCACCCTGTCTTGCACTTGAAAAAACCAAGGCTCTGGGTTTTTAAACCAGTAAAGATCTCAGGTTCTATGATCTTCGGCTACCATCAATTCCTGTCCTGAGGCCCTTTATCCTTTCTTCACATAGACTGAATAAATGTCCTATGGTCAGATGTGTGTCTGCTCCCAAGGAGTAGCCCAGGGCCCCACAGGTTCCCCAGGGAGCAACATCCTCCTGGAAGTTCCTCAAGGGACTCCGGCTGCCTTGGAGAAGGTCACAATGAAGATTCTGGGCCTGATGGCCTGATGCCTGAGAGGATGGTCTTTTGTTTGTTTCTTTTCGGGGTTTTTTTTTTTTTTAGGTTTGATTCCCTTTTGTTATTATTTTTTTACTACATAAACTTGTGGTAAGGATAAATTATAAGTTTGTCAGTATCATAAGTGGGTTCTCACTCAGTAGAGTAATAAGTAAATCACAGCATGGGGGCTTTGGAATAAGGTTTTCTTCAAAGTAGTGATTAGAGAGGTCGGTTTTTAAAGAGGGATGCCTGCTCTTGGTGCTGCTGTGTTTCTCTAAGAGGTAGGCTAGGTTCTCAGGTGCCTATGCACAGGGGTCACAGCAGAAGGCTTTGATGGCCAAAATCTGGTAGGACTTCCTGCAATTCACTTTCTTCTATTTAGGCATGTGGGGGAGACTTACAGTGGGGGAGAAAGGAAGGTGAACTTGTTTTCCTCTTTGTCATGCCTGTGCTCTTACCTTGGGTCATGATCTTTGGTGGGACTTAAGATATCATGAAAAAATGAAGATAGCTGCTGAGTCTTTAGGCTTCTACTCTGATGTTTATCTGCATCCCCCTTGTCCATTCCCTTGGTCTTCTTGTTCTTTTTCTTCTTCACCCTCCATTTGGTGGGCTCTGAGGCACCAGAGGTGGGAGGCAGTCTGGACCCTTTCTTGCTTGAAGTGCCACCCTCTTGCTCTTCCTAATCCTCATCATCCTCCTGTATGCCGATGCCCCGGCCCCACCAAGGCCATCCATCTGCTTGCCTATACTTCCTGTGCCTGGGGCAGCCCATGACCTGCTGCTGAGCTTTCAGCTCAAAAGGATGGTTTTGATGGATGAATAGGAGTTGAAGGATGGCCAAAGTGGCGAAGGAGAAAATTCTAGCCAGAGGGAAAAGCCTGTATAAATACGTTTATCACAGTAGTGTTCATAATAGCAAAAAATTGGAGAGGAATTAAATATCCATCAATAGCATGCTAGATATATCAACTGTGGTCTATTCACACAACGGAATCCTCTACAGGCATGAAAGTAGAGCTACTTGGGTAAATTCACAATGTTGAGCAAAGAAAAACAAGTTGTAGATTACACATTGTATGATATTGCTTTATGATAAGGCTTAGAAACATGCAAAACAAAACTACATATTTTACAGGGGTTCTTCCATATGTGGCTAGGAAGTAATAAATACAATACTCAGAGTAGGGCCTGCCTCTGCAGAGCAAGGGCTACATTGTGTGATTTATTTACATTAATTATTTCTTAGGTGGGACAGTATGTACATGAGTGGCCATTATGACACTTTTTATATATTTTGACAATCAAAATACTTCATTAATGGATTTATTTTTAAGGCTATGCCCAAGCTAGAGAGGCCTCAGAGGCCCTGACTGTCACATAGGAGAAAAAAGAGAAGGATCTTGTTTGTACTGTGCCAGCACTCAAGTTTCACACGTTCTTCCTAGAGAGGATAGAACCCCTTCTGAAAAGGCAGGTGTGGCTGCTCCCCAGTATCTGCAGGTAGCAAGCAGCTCATATCTACCCGGACACTATTTGTCCCCTTTGTGGCCAGGCTGCACCCCATTACCCAGTGTCAGATGCCCAGGGCCCACATGTGAGGAGCCCTGCTTGGTTTTAGGGTCAGTGAAAGAGGGTAGAGGGCCTCAACAGTGTCTAACCCTGATAAGCCATTGATATGTTTGACTTAAGATTCTCTGAAGGGGAAAGAACTGAAATCCCAAGTGTCATTTTTTAAATACGTGCTCTAGGCTGGACACCTAGATGCGAAAGCTGAGGTTCAGTGGAGTAAGCCAGCCACTGAAAATTGCAAGGCCAGGAAGTGGAAGGAAGAGGGCAAAAGACTAACAGGAGGTGGAGACTGCAGTGCCTGCCAGCC